TTACATCCCTGGGGGTTGCAAATGGGTAGCAAATGTAAGTCCTGGCAGAAGGCTTAGAGGCTTCAGTCTACCTTGAAAGTGCCTTGGAAGAAAGCCCTGGCGGCCTAGTGCTCCCAAATCAGCCACCAAACATCTTGTGGAGCACATCCTCAGGTCATCCTATTCTGATGGGGTGGAGACTAGTTTAGCCTTGGAATGTGAGGGCAAGCCTGGATTTGGGTGGCAAACTCCTGTTGCTGCCCTGGACTTGGTCCTCCCACCGCCCGCAGCTTGGGTGGCTCTCAGCCTGTCTGTCTGCAGCTGTGCCTTAGACTCACTCGTACCCCCCAGGCCTGGTCAGAGGCAACCTGTGGCTGCCCAGGAGGAGCCAACATGCCCCAATCTGCTGGTCACACTCTCCACTTGTTTTCGTATTTCCCTTTCCTTTGGGATTCGCGCTTGGGGTGGGCTAATCAAAAATGAAATACCTGTAAACATTCCACAAACTAGTTTGCCCATCTAATTGAACTTATTATGTTTATTTTAGGCCATAACGAAGATTCTCATTACTGAACTTTGTTCTCAGTGAGGGCAAGTGGGTCATCATTGCCAATAATTGAACTTATTAAACAAGTATGCAATTCGCCAATTTATTATTGATCATGGAGTTATTTGTCCTGGAGGGCTTTTTTGGGGAGGGGGGTGGGGTCAAGGGCCCTGGGTCACAGGAGAGGAGGCTGACTTTTCCAAGAGAGTCCACTGTCTTCTGCCCCAGGATGCAGCCCATTGAATCACTGCACGTGGCTCTTCTAGGGATGGTCTTTGTAACTCCCATCGAAGGACTGGGCAGCAGTATGACAAGGAAGGGGTTGTGAATAGCCTGCTGACACTATAAATAAGACACGTGGCACTCTTGTAGGGGTGGGGCTATGCAAATAAAGTGCATGGAACCCCAATATGTGGATTGGTCAGTTTTGCCTTTGTGCACGGCTTAAAACGAGCCAATCAAGAGGTGGAAGAGGAGGAACTCATGGCCTCCAGGAAAGAAGAGTCAGGAATGAGCACTGTGCACTGGGGACCTTCTTGCATCTGAGACAGCGGTGACGCTGGAGGTGACCTCTGGCCATGAAAAGCAGCAGCAGAGAGACATCAGTTGCCGAGGCAACAGAGTCAAGAAACTGGCATGAGATGGAGCAATGGGACTAAGTGCCTTCTGGCAGGAAGCTTGCTGGCAGGGTGGCCAATTCATGGAACTGGAGCTGAACACCTCTGGACTGAGGCTTACTGGCAGAGTGGGATGCCTCGGGGCACGTAATTGGAGGAGCTTAAACACAACAGAAGTAAACACTGCCCGGTCTTGTGGCGTCTTCCCAATTGTTCCTATGCGTGAGCCCATTGTTGCAATCATGGGGTCAGTCCATCTCCTTGATGGCCTTCCTCTTTTTCACGCCCCTCTCCTTTACCTAAGATGCTGTCCTGTTCCAGGGACTGGTCTCTCCTGACAACATGCTCCAAGTATGGAAGATGAACTCTCGCCATCTTTGCCTCTGAGGAGCACTCTGGCTGTACTTCTTCCAAGCCAGATAGGTTTGTAAATGCTTAGACATTTGAAAATACAATACATTGAAAGCATATGGCAGCTTGTAGGATGTCTCTCTCTCTCTCTTACACGCGCGCGCACACACACGGTGTCTGAGTGAGTCAAGTTAAGTCTGTCTCCAAAATGTGCTCACCGAAGGAGGTGTCAGTAGGTCACCCATTCACAGTGGACGTGTGGGGAGCCAACATTGAGGTTGACTGGAAGGGAACACAGGACGTCCCTAGGGAGGCATGGTGCTTGGCTTCTAGCTCCATGGAGTGTCAATATGCCTCTGGAAATGCCTACATATATATTTTAATCTTTAGTACCCCATAAAAGTTTATCCCTAGGGCAGTGTGTGTGCTCTGATGGATGGGTGGGTTTGGCATGTATCCTCAGAGATACAGTGCGGTGACCTCATTCTTGGGGTCACCAAGGACCTAAAATATGAACCTTGTAACTGCTCCCCAAATTTCTTCCCCATCCTCCCTTCCATTGAGCGAAGCCAGTGAAGACAGGGCATGCCCCATGCCCTGATGCCACATTCCTGTCCGATGCACAAAGGAACTCGTTCATTCCTAGAAACGGGCTTCTGCCATTGTAGAGGCCTGTTAGGGCAACCCTCTGTTGGATCAGACCCTACTGGGAGCTGTGCCCACGCTCTGGGCAGAGAACCTGCCCAATCAGATTCATATCCTGAAGCCAAACATCTTGTGTGATGAGGAAATTGGCGAGCACTTCTAGACGTTGTATGGAAACAGTTGAAGAGGTGGGTTTGCCTGAGGTGAGAGAGAAGGCCGGTCTGGAGAGCAACGAGGGCGCTCCCCTGGGTTTAAAATGCTCGGAAAACATTGAGTTTGATGAGGGAAGATTCCGGATGATGGATTATTTGGAAAGAAACACAATTTGATATTTTAATAATTCTCTCGGATGTAGGAAACTGAAATATCAAGTCGTCATTGTTATTAGGTGCCATTCAGTCAGCTCCGACCCACAGTGACCCTCTGCACAACAGATCAGAACACTGCTCGGTCCTGTGCCAGCCTCACAGCCCTTCCTGTGCCTGAACCCACCACGCGGCCGCAGCACCAGTCCATCTCCTAGAGGGTCTTCCTCTTTTTTGCTGACCCTCTACTTTATCAAGCCTGATGTCTTCTCCAGGGACTGGTCTCGCCTGACAACATGTCCTAAATATGTAAGACCAAGTCTTGCCACCCTTGCCTCTAAGGAGCCCTCTGGCCTTACTTCGTCCAACACAGTTCTGTTTGTCCTTTGAGCCTTCCCTGGTACTTTCAATATTCTTCTCCAGCCCCACAATTCAAATGCATCAATATCTGACTACTAACAAGTGGTTACTGGTGCTGCTGTCACAGGAATGCCACAAGTGAGTGACTTTAGTCAGAAGACATTTACTTTCTCACCATGGAGGAGGTTGGAAATCTGAGACAGGGAGCTGGCTCTAAGGGGAAGGTCCTTCTTCCCAGCTTCTGAGAGAATTCCTTGGTAATCTTCATGTGCTGTGGCATCTATTTTCCCTGCACTCCCCATTTCTGCTTCCTCGCTGGTTGCTTGCTCAATCTGTTCTTCTTTATTGAGGAATTAAAGTGTTGTTTCATTTCTTCTCATAAATGTGTGATTTAGATATTCCAAGACCATCTTCTTGAATGACTTATTTAGTAAGAGGCACGGTTGTGCAGAAGACAAAGAGATGGAGAGAAAGAGGAGGGATATGCAAAAAAAAAAAGAGCTTTCATGACAGATTTCATTGTAAAGATGGTAGATATGAGTGTAGTAGTTTTTTCTTTTCCTCCAAATACCTAAATACGACTTTAGCTGGAAATCATGGGAGTCATTTCGTTCCAAATTCACAGTTTAAATACCTATTTCGCAATCACTAAGGCCCCTCATCCAATCATTTTTGCTGAACATACTGCAGCCTGAGGGTAGACGAACTTCCTCTGGAGTTGTAGAAGTTTTCACGTGTCTGACAGTGTCAGGATCATCATATATCTTTTAAACACTTCTTTTCTGAGGAAGGTCTAACTGCTGGGGCCCTGAAATACAAACTCATTCTTTGGGTAGAGTCCTGGCCTGGTCACATGCGTGCCCAAGTCCACCCTCGGTTGCATGCCGGGATAGTATGCTGTGTCATTCATTAGAGCTGAGTACCTGCTGGATAGGAGGCTGTGGAGGGCGGAAGACTCGTGGGTTCAAGAGCCCAGAGGGCTGATCCACAGCAGCTTCAATAGGAAGAACTGCTGCAGGAGATGGTAACTTACATGGCGGTGGGGATAAGCCATTTTGATTTAAAGTGCCCACCCATCAACCCAAAGTTCATCTCCTCAGCTGAACACTGGAAGCCTTCCTGGTTCTATTATGACACTTCCGTGCAGCCACCAGTGCTCTGTGGCAGACTTCATCTGGATAAAGGCATCTCCTGAAGGGCAGCCCTGATGATTCAATACCGTGTGGACCCCATGAGTTCGAGTATCTGTGGAGACTCCCCCAGGAAGTCCAGGATGTCTGTACTTGTGGCTGTGTAGGGGAGACCTCGAAGGCATATTCCATCTCTTAACATTTTTGGAGGCACAAATTGCTGGGGTGGTACTGGAATAATGAGGGCGGGGGGCTTGGAAGTGGGATGAGAGGGCCGAGGAGAATCGATTCAGCACCTGCAGAGCTTCAGCTGTTGTGCTCCTGAAGTTCAATGTCTCTTTCACCCAACCAGTCCTCGTGCATCTTCCATGCATTCCGTGCACACTGCTCACAAGCAGGCAGGACAAGAGCATTCCCTGTTGGCCTCCCATCTGGGGAGGTTACAAAGAGGATGCCTTATCTCGCCACCCCCCACCCCCCGCAGGTTCTTTGGGGCGATGCTATCCAAAGAACACCACCACTTCCTCGCTGTGGCCGTGAGTGGGAGGCCCTGCATTCGAACAATGACTAGGTTTTCCATGGATGTTCCACCAGCAATTTCAAAGCAATCTCCGCCTGTCGCTTTCTAAACCTCAATGAACCGGGTCCCCACGGGGTGTGTGTGCCCCTGCAGGGCCAGGTCTCGGAGGCCTGCTCTCACAAACCAGCCAGAGCTTCGCCAGTCCCTCGCCCCTGAGCCTTCAGACCAAGGGCTGCACCTCCCTCGGCAATATGGAGTCCTTTGAAGAATCTTTCAATATCTTCACCCAACGACTGCAGGGGAACCGCCGTGCCCGACTGCGGTGGGTGTGATCATCAGTAAGCTCCCTCTTGCTGCAAGTGCCACTTTCACATTCGTCATTTACTCTCTCTGCGTCTGAGACCCCATGATTATACAGCCTTGAAATCATTGCTAAAATTAGATTCCCCATCTCTTCAACTTAAGAGGCTCCATATCTGAAGAGTGATTTTCTTCAAAATTCAAACGCTCTGTCATCGCTCTAACATCCAGTTTGCCGTTGCCAGGTGAAGCAGGGAAATACTTCTTGAATTCTTTTTGAAGAGCAAACAAGGAACAGAGCATTCAGGCAATAATACATGCTTCTCAGAATTTGCCTGGCGTGAAGCCGCCCATCAGTAAAGAGACAGAAGGAAGTCCCCACCCCCACTGTTCAGTTTGTTAAGCTGTCGGAGGGCTTGGCCCAGCTGCGGCTGAGGCAGGCGCTCGCCGTTGGGCTCAGTTTCTTCTTTGCAATTCTCCCTCAGTTCCAACTACCCCGTTTCCCCGAAAATAAGACAGTGTCTTATATTAATTTTTGCTCCCAAAGATGCACTAGGTTTTATTTTCAGGAGAGATCTTATTTTTCCATGAAGAAGAATACGGTACACATTTATTGTTGAGCAACAAAAAAGGAAATCTATTACCTGTATACAGTACGGTAGGAGTTGTCATCACAAACCAGCATAACCAGACAAACGGAATCCTACAGTATCAAGAATTTCTTGTTACTACCGTTACTTCCATGGACAACAGTCTGTGGTACATTTACTCATAATCGATGGTGCACTTACTCGCACTTCCTGTCTGCTCCGGCTGTGCTGCGGCCAACAGTGAGCTGC